GAGGAGGTCGAACCAACTAACAAATGCAAACAAATTCGATTCTGGCATTTTTGTCACATACTAACCTAAACGCACGGGAGGAGGTCGAACCAACTAGGAAATGCAAACAAATTCGGTTCATTCACCGTTGCACCTAAACACCACTGGAATTATTATTTTTTTTCACATATACACATTCAACATTATACTCAGTGAATGTTATATCTGAAGTGTTTATATAAAATGAACATTATGCCATCGGTATATTAGATTGAAAGTTGTTATATCAATCGTCTATTATACCCAGTGACCGTTATATCATGCAAGAATATGTCAAATGTCTGTATATCATAAATTAATTATGTCTGTTAAGCGTTATATCGACTAAAAATATCTCATTTATTGTTATATATTACGCTCCCAAGCCACATCGTGTCTCTTTAGAGGAGACCTGTGCACGGCATTGGGACGTATAGTGTGTTGTTGATCATCGATGACGACCACGATGATAAACAATATATACAACTTTGTCTCATTGAGAATATGTTTTTACCACGTTCCAGGCGGAGAGTCAAAAAATAGTATCAGGGGTGAACATAAGCCGCAGTTTCGTCGGTTCCCTCATTTCAACAGTGGTACTATTATTCGTAGGCCCTTGGAGTGACTGCAGCGGTCGTCGGAAACCACTCCTTATCATGCCTTTAGTTGGCATGAGCGTGATGACAACAGGTGTCTTGCTTCTTCTGACTTTTCCTGGAGCGAACACTGTGCAAGTGTTATACGCCGTACAGATCCCAATGTCGTTTGGAGGAAATTTTGGGTTGTTACTCGCTGCAGCGTTTAGCCATATTGGTGACGTAAGTGTACACAAATTTAGCCTTATTTATTTTTATTACTTTTCAAAAAACTCTAGTATTGTATTTGATCACCCGCTACACCGCTTTTAACAATTAAAAGAAGGGTTAACGAATGTATTTATGTTAACTTTATCAAAGGGATTTATGCTTTTTTTATGGTTTCCATTTGCACTGACTACTTTTTACTTTTATATTTTTTATATCGATCGACAACTTGACCATAGTTATAAATAAATTAAGCCGAAGCAATAGGACGTGGATAGCATTTATCAAATCTAAAACGCATAGTTATTACAGGTTTATTAGTCAGTAACGATTTAAGAGCTACGTCGCTAAAAGTACAAATGCACTAATGTGGGAAAATAATACTACTGTCCTTGCGGAAAAGGCCCGGAAGTAAAACCGAGCGTAGTCTTATAACGCAACATTTTCGTAATGAAAATGATCCACAAACAATCACCTTTTAGAATTGCTGCAGCGCAGCGATCTCTGTAAACCTGTAGGTTTCTTTACTTTGATGAATTATTATAATGTTAAATTATAATTATCTTTTTTGTTTTTGTGATTATTTTTAAAACACTTAAAAACTTGGATTTAGAAATAAGTACTATTCATAATGAGAATTCGTAATGAGCACCCCCATATACCCCGTAAACGATACCCAGAATCAAAATCAAAATAATCACTATTTCATAGGTAAGCATTATTACACTAGAAATCATCACATTGGTTAAACTCTACCGCTCATTCGTAAGGCAGATACCCCCGAGAAGTATGAGCAAGAAACTTTAGGGGTTGCTCTTTGTAAACAACATTTGTACGCATTTAACTTGCAGAAATGGAAGTCAAATGCACACTTACATTAGAATAAAAAAAAAATCTGCAACCGTCGCGACATTGCGTATTCTCAAAAAATTACGTAATATAATTATTTTGAAACAGAATAGCAAAATTGGGAGAAAGAAATCCGTTACTTTGCAACATTTCCGTGTCTTGTTGGAACGAAATTAATTTTCGGTTTTAGTGAATATTTATATAAAAATACAAGTTGAAACGCGTTACTTCCTTGTGGAATGTGATGTTAGTGTCTGTTTTATGTTTGCCTGTTCTATTTTTACACCCATTTACCGCACATATCGTCATTATTAGCAAAAATGTTTGAGCTGTTCGCGATGCAATTTGACCTTGAGCACTGACAGCCCGCCCGCTCGTGTAGGCCCTTTGGGAAGCCTCTAACTTGCCTCACTTAGCGTGCGCGGGCTAGGTTTCTAGGTTTCAGCATGAAATCAAACTACACTGTAACAAGCACAACTTTAACATGCAATTAGTTCCATCACGCCGCTGCTAGATGGCATTAGTTGTACTCTGAATCTCATATATTTTGAATTGTTAGTGCTTTTTCCCGCTGTAGCATTTATACGACACTAAATGGTACTCAAGTATTTGAGAAGATTCCGTCCTGTTCCTGCTACTTTAAGGTTTGGCTCTGAACTGTGTGCTTTCGCGCCAGTGAGACATACTGTTGTTGGCCCATAACCCTGTAAATTTACCCTTTTTGATATTAGAAAACATAAATCTTCAGTCAAATAATTAAGTACCTCTCAAGTTTTCATTCTTTTTTTTTTTCAAGTCAAAATCGGACATTTCTAATAACTAATAAATATTTTGTTGAATATAGAGTGGCTTTGTGACTTGAAGTAAATTAATTTGTTCTTGGATTAAATATTTCTGTCTTATAACTAAAATAAACTTTTGAGACGTTTTTTTACTATTAACAAGTAATTATTCTCTAGCGCCTATAGGGAGAGGATCGTTTTGTTGGATTTAATAAATTTGTCTTCATAAAAAGAATTTTGTCCTTTTCTAAGTAGTCTGTTTTTACCGTGTAGGTACTTTTTACTCCGCATTAAATGATGCACTTTACTCCCGCTACGTAAGGATATATATGACGTACTTTAAGGTCACAAATACGCAACGGCGGGTGGTGAGTTCAGTTCGGCGTTTAAGGTTTGCGCGTACATTGTGTCTTGTGTTGGATGTATCCAACTAATACACGTTTGCGCGCAATGTACGCGCAAACCATGAACGCCTCGCTAAACGCACCACAGTTCCGAATTTGCAGGCCAGAGTCAAAGAAGTGAAATATTATTTGTTATGCAAAGTTGCAAATTGTTGTTTGACACGAGTGCTTGTATTGAAACCTGAACAAGCGAAGAATTCTAAGATAAAAATAGAATCCTAAGCGTAGCGAGCGTTTCAAGACACGAGACGCAAAACAACTTTCGAGCCGAGGGAAACACACGACTTTTCACTTCCCTATAGCGAGGGAAATGGTAGATGAAAGAAAACAATTTAACTACTTATAATAAAATAATTTAATGAACAAAATTAGTTATCGTTCTCAATTTAATGTCAACAATAATAAAAAAGAAATATACCGGATTTATATTATATATAATGTACGACAAATCGCGTAGTTGAACGTGTCATTATGTTATTATTTTTCCATTTATTTTCCATCGAAAGAAAAAGTTAGGTTCACCACAGTACATCGTCAAATTCGAATTTCAAAAACGTTTTTCCACGCAAGCAGACGTTAGCGTGAAATAAACGCTTTTTCGCGCAGATTTCCAATGAGAAAGAAAGCCTTTCCGAGCTAATGAGGTGAAAAAGTATTGAATATGCCCGTGTGTTAATAAGGGATATTATCAGGAGTCTGGGATAAATAAGAACTATGATAATGCAATACAAATAAACAAAGATCGTCGATTAGTTTTGTGTTAATTTTAAACAGAGAAGTCTTTATTTTAAAATCTACGAATTATTTAATTTTTGTGTAATACCCTAATTCTGGAATATTCTATGAATTTTGATCAGATAAATTTATTTCAATATAACTTAATCTAATACAATATAAGTAAAACAAATGTAAATAAAGGTATTATAGTATTCAAATAAGAATTAATAAAGGAACCTAAATTATACATTCTTCATAGTAAAGTAATACATTTTAATATTAGCATCTAATGTGTAATTACGATGCCTAAACCAAGTAAATGTATACCTGTATTTTAGGCAAAATTTGATGAACATTAATGAACATTCTCGGTCTATCCTAAAAGTAGCGAACCTATTTAGTCATTGATATTATGAGAGCCCTTAATGGTCATATGCAAAGATGATTGAAATGTTCCTTGTAATTTTCTGGGTAGTTGAGTCATATTATTTATTGGTGCTCGAATACATGACAACGCAATCCCAACGCAACCGATACCAAATTTGCTAAGTTCCAACCGTTCACTTGTTGATTTCGATTGTATTACACATATCTACTGATATGTCATAAATTCGACAATTCATTCAAAAGTCTTATGACTCATATTTTTCTTGTTCTATGTACTTATAAGTAATTCCGTTAGTCTCTGTTTTCCAGTTCTATCTTTTTTTACGATTTTAAACGACGGCAGGAACAAGTATACATCTGATCATTAGCGACACGCGACCTGTTCGTAACAGTTGCAGTGTCACTCAGAGCTTTAAAATCTGATAGTGTCACTGCGCCCATCACCTTGAGACATAAGTTGGAAGTCTCATGTGCTTCAAAACCGAAACACGGGAATGCCCACATTACTGCTTGGCGGCAGAATAATAACAATAATAATAGCTAAATAAAAAAAAGATTAAAGTAACTAATAATAATAATTATTACAATAACGCACGCACTCAACATAGCCCCGCACTAGGGAAACCCTGGGTCGCGAGTGCCATAGGCGTACATATTGACAACCACAAATTACACCCAAACTCGCGAGAGAAATAAATGTAGGCTATACAAATATTCCTCGCGGCCCGGGAATCGTACCTGGGACCTCTACGTGGCATTCCGGTATGGTAAGCGTTCGGCCACTCCTAATGCAATTCGGCAAATCCTGTAATGTATTTCCAGATATGCCACGCTACTGGCCGCGACGTAACCCGCACTATGGGCACTCACCGCGCCGCTATCCAAGTAGCCCATGTTATAGGCTCTATCAGTGGACCTTGGCTCTTCCATGGCCTCGGATACTACGGTGTGTTTAGCATTGTATTATTGCTGCAGGTACTAGCTTTGATTACTCATCGATACGTGTTCTTTATTGCATAGATTTCTTTATATTTACTTGTCGCTATTACCGTACCAACCGATAGCTGTCCACAGCCGAAACTTTAAATAATTAATATTGATTTTCTATAACCGTCAAAGCGGAGGGTTTGTTATTTTAGTACAGCGTCTAGTACACTGTCCATCTACTGGAATAATACCTTAATAACTCTCTACGTTGCGAAAGGGAGACTTAACCGGGTACCACATGACAAATATGTGATCAGAGTTTATTTCTAAACATAACATTTAATTTAATCTTTTTTTCGTTAATCATAGCGAGCCTTTTTTCTATGGATATGGTTACCGGTCTTTTTTAGGTGTAACATTTCATTTAATCTTATCCTCGTTATTACTTTTTTCTTTACGGTTTTCCACGGTACGTTAAATATAATGACAAAAGAAAAAGATCTGTGAAATGTCCGGAAAATCTTTACGAAAAATATTTACTAATGGAAATAAACATCTTTGACAATTTTAATCGACAAAATAAGAAATTCTGCAAAGTGAAAACTTTCGTACTTACTAGTAACATTCTTCTTTTTGGCACATTTATGATATTATGAATAAGTCAAATAAAAATAGGAGCGTTTATAGAGACTGTGACAAGTAAAATTGACTGACGAATTAATCCCTCATTCAGATATTTTATTTATGAACATTAAAATATTACTTTATAGATTCTTTAGTAAGTGCGGGCAACAAAATTAAAGACTGCAGTGAGTAGTTATCTAATCGTGCTAAACTTCAAGTCGATAGCAATTTGTCTTTTCTGAAAGGCCGTGATTTACAGACGAACATTACTTGGGTTCTTTTTTGACCGCTAGACAGGCTTAGGTGTGGAACCACAATACAAATAATCAACTAAAGTTCATAATGTATCAAACTAATATTTGGCAAAAGGCAATAAAGAGTCACGTATCTCAATCCAAAAAGCTGCATGTTTGTTATTTTCCTATCAATTTACTATGGAAGATCTTATAAATTAATTTTAAACTTTTTTAATTCCAGGTTTTCTCCTTAGCATACGTGATATTTGTCGTAAAGGATGTCGACGTAAATACAGATAATAAAGTCTCTGTTTTTAATTGGAGATTACCTTTCAATGCTGTTATTTGTCTCGTAAAACCTAGAGAAGGATACAAAAGAGTTATTATACTACTAATGTTAGTGGTCGCTTTAGGGGACCGGATGATGTTATCTGGTGAGTACCTATGAGAATATACTGGATTATTCTTTAGATGTCTTTGAATATATCTGTGGGATGATTCATGAAAGAAATTACTATTCATTCTTCAAATGAACGCATATAGGCTTGTATATAGGTAATGAGTTAATGAAATGAAGATGTCGCATTTTCATCTTGGTCGTTATGCATGGAAACGTGCACAAAATGTATTCATATGTGGGCAATAGATGGCGGTGTACAAAACACGGCATAGTGCCTAATATTACCAAATTTTTTTAAAGTAAGGGACTCGTGATTCTAAACTAATATTTGTTTTTTTTTAATTTCCAGCGGAAGTTCTTCTATCGTACATGTACTATAGATATAAGTTCAACTGGACCGACGTCATGTTTGGTTCCTTCCTCGCTTACAGAAATATTGTTAGTTTTATTGGTAAGTTTATTTAGTTTCTAGGGAGGCGGTATTGGGGCGTTTACTGTTCTTAAAGTCTTGTAATTTCAAAATGCGTCTAGACGCCAATAACCAGGGTCATCACAACAAAAACAGAAGTGAAAAACAAAAGATTTTCCTTATTCTGGATATTAAATAGTTTCTAAGGGTGTTCCGTACTTTATTAAACTTTTATGACATTTATTTACTAGTTACTTTTCTAAACTGTGAAGCAGCGTCTTCATTGTATGGAGATTTTAAATTCAATTGCTGTCTTTAATTTTTCCAGGGACCCTCCTAATCCTAGCAGTAATGAAGCGTCGCCTGCAATTCTCAGACGAGGTGGTAGGCTTTTTCAGCTGCATGTCCTATATTTTAGCCACATTGGGCCTCATTGCGACTACCTCCGCTTGGTGTGTTTTCTTGCGTTAGTACCTTTTTACAAAGACGTTTATCTACTTTATTATTCAATTATAAGTTGGTAAAGCGGCGAAATACTGATACATTTACTGTGATAGGGGTTAATTCTATTTTCCTCTTAGGACCAATTTACATTGCGGCGGAACGGAATGGAACGGAACCGTGAATTTCGTCAATGCTCGAGCATTCACGAGCTTTCTCGCGACTGCGCCTTGAGGCTGTAGTATTTCGTTGACGTTATAACTACTGCGCGTGCCTTCGCGCCATTTCTCGCGGGTTCGTGAGCATTCTCGAGCGTGCGCGAGAATTCCGCGGAAGACTCGTATCGTTCATTACGCTATTTACAATATCGTTACAAAAACTCGCTTCCATTCCGTTCCGCCGCAATATAGATTGAGCCTTAGTATAGCCAAGACACAGCACGCAACGTCGCGTCAACGCAACGCCAAATCTATAATAACAAGACGTTCCTGCGAAGTCAAACATGTGATGAGATGATGTTACATTTCATACATTGATGCTGATTAATATTAATATTGAATGTGTTGTCGGAGCATTTTAATATGTATGCTACTAAACACAACAACGCAACGGGCGTCTGAAAAATCTGAATCCAGTTGTAATATTTGTTTACAGCGCCATCTATATAACTACGATGAATTGCGAAAGTCAGTGTGCGTGCTATACGGGTTGTTCACAACTCAAATCTATAAACTTATTATCGCACTACACTGAACCGCCTAAAGATAGCGGGCTGATGTAGGTTTCTTAGTTTGCTGTAGAACTGTGAAGGATATTTCAAATACTATAAATAATTTTTTTTTCGTTGAAGAAAATAACATATTGTAAACATAGCAAGGTTTAACAAAATTTGGTAAGCTTACAATATAACTCTCATATAAATTTACCGTTGGGCTTTCTTTATTGAAAACAACAGCTTATCAGTGGGACAAGAAGTTCAAGAGACTGTTGTCAGGTGGTATAAGAGGAACACCGGGGATAGTGGGGCTTAAAGCCTTAACTCATAATCTAAACAGTTTAACACTTAGGGCCGTATTCCAGAACTCTACTCAATGCTCAAGTCAGGATTTGAGTATGGTTTAAAGCACTCGAAATCATACTCAAGTCCCTGCCATTAGGGTCGTATTTCCAGTGCTTGAAATCATACTCATATCCTGACTTGAACATTGAGTAGAGTTCTGGAATACGACCCTTAGTCTCTCAGTCGATAAAACACACAAACAAATTAGTTCAAACGATTTTAAAGTGATACCTACAATGCTCCAAATTCGAAAGGCAGAAAAAACAAATTTAACAGTTGAGAAAACTTGATGATACGAATTTTCCATTTAAAAAACTGATGCTCATAACCTCTTGTAGCTTTCTAAAAGGGAAAAGGGTCGTTCTCAGATAACCCCCGAAAATGTGTCTCTTTCAGTAACTTTTATGTTATTACATGAATGCTAAGCATTATTTATTTAATATGATTGCTTGCTTACTTAGTCTGTGTACATAAAAAGACTACTTTACTACGTCACAGTTATAAATAAAAATTAAAAAAGTGGGCAATTTCTCATTCATGGGAGCCGGTTCCACGTCGCCCTAATTTTAAGAAAAGAAGAAAAAAAATTAAACACTCGTGGAAATCGCAATATTTTCCATCGAGGATAAACTCCAATAACTTACACGTCGATTACATACCGTAACTTTCCAATTTATTATAAACAAACACGTTTTCTTGGGAATACAAAATGTGTTTCAATTTTTCTTATCATTAGTGTCAATTCAACTACAAGTCTCCTAATAACAAAAGTTCATACCACATCACCTTCACCCTTCGCACACGTGAGAAGGGGCTCCTGTCGGATTGGAGTGTACACAGTGAAGTAACCTGTGCATCTCCGTGTTAGCAAAAAATCAACTTAAATACCAATTTCAGCGCTAGTGACTAAATCGTTCCCATTCACGTAAAGCAATCTATCTAAATAAGTATTAAGTAATATTTTTTTAACTTTATTGTACATCAATTAGACAAAGGGAACTTTAAAATCTATGCCCTTTTATATCGGTCCAGCATATTTTACACACCTGACAATCAAAAATGTATCCAAATGTCATTATTGTCGCTCTCATTCTTGTCTACTTTTAAGTCAAATAGTTATTTTAAGCCAAACATTTACTTGAAATATAACAATTATATGTTGACAGTGGTGGTGATGACGGTGGTGACGATGATGATGGTGGTGATGATGACGATGATGATTGTAGTGATGATGACGATGATTGTGATGATGATGTAAATGGTAATGATGCTGATGATATTGGTAATCATGATGATGATGTTGATGGTGGCGATGATGATATATTGATGTACAACAAAGATTATATGACATTAACAAAATATTTATTTAGATTTATTTATTAATTACATATAGATAGATAGATAGTCTTACACGGATAAGATGGATTTTTATACAAGAAGTTATATTTGTTACATGTTAAATGTTCTTTTGTGAACGATAAAATGTGTGTTGTAATAATAATTTCTAATTACTGTGCCGTCTTTCTTATTTACGTTTATGAGAAAATCTTATGTGTTACTGCAATCTCATTCGTGTGACCTAAAATATCGTTTTTTTGTTGTATTTAACTTAAATATTTCCGTGATTTTATAATTATTGACATTGCTTGAACTTATTTGTACGTTAAAGACCTTAAAACCAAAATAAAAAAGGATTTTACAAAAATCAGTCAAAAAGTGCCACTGAAATTCGGAAAGTGAAATTCACACAATTCTTATTACACTTTGTCTGTTCTTTCTAGTGCCCAAAACATAATACGCTCATTTGGTGCTACACTGACACAATGTCTTGTAATGTTACGAAGATGCATTTGAATTGATATTTAACCGACTTCAAAAGAGGAGGAGGTTCTCAATTCAACTGTATTTTATTATTTTTCGTATGTATATTACGCGACAACTTCGGCATTTGTGAACCGATTTTGATGATTATTTTTTGTTGGAAAGATGGTATACCTCAGTAGTGATCCTATTTAAATTTGAAGAAAATGTTCCCACTCTAAGGATGGCAAACTTGGGATGAATCCAGTTTCGCGCACTTTCCGGTGACCGATTTCAATAAAACTTGGCAAATAGATGTAATTCCATGAGCTTTTGAGGTCGGTTTGTAGTACTCTGTACTGAGATTTTAAATTTATTTAAAAAATATAACGTTTTAATAAAATTTTGTGTACTTTTACAATTCGTATATTATTTAACATTTCTGCCAACTTTTCTCCAGAAGTAATAAACACTCGTTACATATGTTTTGACATACTGAAATAAATTTTACCAAAATTTACAATTGTTAATGTAGTACTACACGACCTTAATATAGTAATATATGTCTTATTTAAGGATTTCTTTGTTTCAGTGCCACTCATCGGCATCATCGCTCAAGGTTCCCAAGTGGTACAAAGACCTATATTGAACAAGCAAATTTTGCCCAACGAGCAAGGTAAACTGTCAATCATATTAAAATCATTTGACACAAAAAACGTACTCGGTTGAAATTGTCATCGTACGATAATATTGGGTATGAGTCAATGATCTTATATCGGATTGAGTCATCACATACACTTGTAGTTAGAGATAAGGAAACTGTCTTAAGTTACCATTTACATGTCGCATACTCAGCAGTTGAAAGATATTATGATGTCTTTTTTGAATAGATTTTCTTAATGGACGTAAATTTTATTAAAACTCGTAGTACCATCGTTATTCTATGTAACCTACTTTGAAGCGTAACAATAAAACTTACTTTACAGGAGTTTCTTTTTAAAAACCGTGTTACACCATTATTCCATGAATAAGAAGTAAACATTTTGAAGTTTAAGTTAGTTACAAATTTTATTGTTCAAGGTTTTAGGATTTTGTTTGCTTAATATTCCTTATTTTGTTTACTGTTCTTTCCCAAACAATTTTTTCATCGTACTTAAAACCCTCGTCTGAGAGGATATCCGTGCCCAGCAGTGCGACATATAAATGAGTTGCAGATGACGATCATACTTAAAAATACGCCCCTGTTAAACGTTTTGTGACTACACATTTACGGAGCAATTTCACTTACATTTTTTGTCGAAAAGAACAAAAATATAGGTATGTACGAGATTTATCTTGTGTTAAGGTTTTATACCGTAATATACATATTTAAAAACAACATTTTTTTAAATTACAGTTATTGACTACGTTTAATATGTTATATTATGAAGCAAAATAAGAAAAATTTAGTTTAAGTATATTGAGTTTTTGGCTATAAATCGTGTTTTACTCCGTTATCTATCTGATGGAAAAACAAAATTGACATAACTCGACTTATGTCACTCTTTCACTAGGGGTGCGATTTATAACATATTATATAAGATCATGAATCGGTTGTAGTAATTGTAGTTCCAAGAAGAAGAAGGAACTTGTACAAGCTGTTCTAATCGTTAAAATATTTTTTTTACTAAAACCTATGTTCTGACTAAGTATTCCATATTTTGACTTTCCGATAACGTTGACTATATTATGTCTCTAGACCTTTATGTGCACTTAAGTGCATAACTCACTAATAATGTGTTTTTCCCCAGGTAAAATATACAGCGTGCTTGGTGCTTTAGAATCGGCGACTCAAACTTTATCATCGCCTTTATATTCTTTATTGTATAATAAAACTGTCGCATCAATGCCTGACGCCTGGCTGATTCCAGGCATTGCCTTGGCTGCATTACAATCCTTGACATACATGACTACGAGAAAACTTCGTAGAAGTCAAGAACCGGCGGCGTCACAAGAGAAAAATATTCCATTACGAAAGAGAGAAGATAAAATATTAGAACATTGTAATGAAAAAAATAATGAATCGAAAAGCAGGACTCAAAGTAATTAGAGATAGAATTTCAAATAAAGTTTAGTTTTTTTGTACCTGGAACGAGTTTTCTTTTTACATTTATTTACTTTTGATTATTCTATTGATACAGCAGTGTAGTGATTACATTTAATATTTCATTGTTTCCTACTCTCTTTCGTCTTACAATCCAGTCCATACGCACTGTACTTTCTTATACAAAAAATATTATTATAATCACCACGGTTTAGCCAAATAGTTTAGCAATCGCAATGAGGTTGCAATCTTATTAGTGTGGATAATTTCGTTTCTGGAAATCGTCAAATAGATAAGATTATTAACACAAAACATGACATAGTTAATAGTATTTGAATACTCGTATTATCTGTGCTTACTTATAATTGTATGGTAATTTACGTATTACTCGTATCGATATGCCCTATATCTTCCCTATATATATTGGGCTATATCCCTATATATATTGAGGTATCATAAATAAAACTATTTGAAAATTATTTTTCCGGATTTAAATCGCGTATATTTGTTTTTTCAAACAAACCGACGTTTCTGAAGACTGTACCACCTCAGTCAACCGTGACCATGGGACCTGTAAAGGGCCCGAAACGTCGATTTGTTTGAAAAAACAAATATACGCGATTTAAATCCGGAAAAATAGTTTCATTTCCTATGTGTAACAATCGCGAAAACCCAAGAACTCAATACATTTGAAAATTGCCAAATTGCGTTTATAAATAAAAAATGTTTTAAGAATATTTCTCAAAAATCTTTTTTCTACGTGATTTTATTAAAATTTCAAGAAAAATTAACTACAATAATTACCACGTTAAGGTAAACGAAACACAAGGAATCACATACCACAAGCAAGTAAGTTATTATTGAATATTTATTATATTTTATTTATTTTTCCGTTTATTTTAATAAATAACAGCTGCTAATTGAAGAGAGATAATACATTATTTCTGTAACGAATGCGATAAGGATCCATAAACTCCGGGCATAGATTAAAAGTGCAGATACGAACACTGAAGGCAGCAAAGTCATAAATTTGGTAGATGACTTAACTGTATTGTAGTCGGGAAACTTATTTGTACAGATTGGTAACGTACGTCTTTAACATAGAATTTGAAAAAGTTTTTTTTTTTTCATATAGAAGTATTTGCAAATTTACAAGCCAAAAACATCAAGTAAATAAAATCTTACATTTTTTTCAACACTATCTGTTTAACATGACTCGCTAAAGTATGAGTGTCAAGCACTATAGGGAATATATCAACATTCTTTTCTGAAATTTTGTCATTTATCATTATGAGGTCATTTGGAGGTTGATCTTTCAATTCTTTAGCATCGAATCCATCGTCTTCAATTGATACTTGTTTATTAGAAGACCAATCAATATTAATTCTTAATAACGTAAGAACAATTTATTAAATTTAATTTAAATTATAGGGTTGTTGTGGTGGTCTTTAGGGGAGGTCTATTTCCAGCAGTGGACGTCTCATACTAGCTGAAATGATGATGGCGATGAAAGGATAGGGACACAACAAACAAATCTATTTATTACCCTAGAAATAGCATTTCTCCAAGGCAGATGATTCTGTTTGACTTGTAAATATTTTTCACATTTCTTTAATAACAAAATTGATTTGTTTTCCTTTTCCATTGTGTTTTACTACTTACCTATTTTTCGGATGTTCATTCTGTTCAATAAAATCATTATCACAATCATCTATGCTCCGGCAATGTAAATGATGCGCGATTTTCAAAAAAGTATATATAGATTGCGTGACACATTTCAAACGTCGATGAATATGAACTATCTTGTATTTGATCATTGGTTGTCATTATGAAAGTGTATTTTTTTGGATATACTTTAGCTAAATTCGACATAGAATGTATAATAACAAAACATTGCTAAGCAACAATTAAGATAACTGCAGCCGTAGGTTCGAAAAAAATCAAAAACTTTTACGACTAATTTAATTTAAAAGAAATAAAATTACAGAATAATAGCTAAATATAGGTGACAATCGTTCGATGTTTGAAACAAAAGTGTCCGACTTAAAAATTACACTATTCCGGTAAAGGGTCTCCCTTCTGTAGAAGTGTGGAGTCGGCGGCTTCCTTTGTATTGCGATATATAACTCCTCCACACTCGGAGTAGCAATTATTTTCTAACATTTAGTGAAAAAATGGCTGGTTGGCTATGTTGGGGTTGATGATTTTCAGCTTATCCAGGATCCTCAATTGTCTGATAATATTCTGGTTTGGATTCTTGGGTGTTTCGGCGTTTGCAATTCTATAAGTTGTGTCGTCGACTTCTAATGGCTATAACGAATGCACATGCACCTATTATTATCGCATATAGGAGTATCGTCGTAAGATATACGACACTGGTTGCGCTCGTGTCGAGCTTTAAGGGAGACTCGACTAAGATTTTATTCTGGATATTCTACAGTCCTTTCAAATCAATGGATTTCAGGTTTACATGGCTTAGGGTTGCAGCTTGTTTCATAATGTCATTTGGAATTTTGGTGAGCTTCAACGGATGGCCTTTTATTTCGTCCTTGTCATTCGTAATGGTGTATTCTGCAGTTCGTAGATAGCAATTTAGAGGAATATTGACTAGGTAACTTCCTTGCAGCAAACTGTAATCTTCTCTATCGCATGCTAACTTAACTCTCGTCGACTGGGGAAATGAGATGACGTAGTGCTGATCATCGAGTTGTTCCATCGCTGGCTTTTGTAATGAAACTGTTGTCACTTGTCAGGAATCCTGTAAGTCTTGGTTGATTCTTATTTGTTGCACGCAGTCCGTACTTGCAGGTTAGTTTCCTTATTGCAGAGATAACCGTGACTGAACATCGGGCATTCTGCCTCCACGTACACGAATACGTTCTCATGAGTTGCTATGAAAGGGTAAGAAGGGATAAGGGCTTGCCTATCTTTATTAGGTACTATGGATAATCTAAAAAGGTCGTATATGACCACTGAAACTATAGGGAACTGAAAAGTTATAATTATTTGTGTGCCTACATAATAAAAACCTGGTCGTATTATGTCATAATACTCTCTAATTTCTAATCCTAAAATTCTATTTTTGCCATAGATATTTTAACATATCAATCATATTGTTAAGGATATTAATATCTAACATAGAATGATGTGTGTTCGAAACTCGAATAAAAGATAATCAGTTTTCTATTCTAAATAGTTCGTCTTTCAAATCTTTTACATTTTCGCTTCAATTTGGAAAAATTTTGCGATTTGAATTAAATTATTGTGTCTATCGGCATTTGTATCTAGAATCATTTCTAACCTTAAATTAAATTTTCTTTTCATTTTCAACTAATGTGTCTAAAACTTTACTATGGTGACTTATCCAATCTTGACTAAGACTCACATGATTATTCAATTCGGACACTACCTTATCTTGTATGATCTGAAAGTTTTTTATAAGATTAGTGTAATAAATAGCATCTGATTGATCAAGGTTACCGGTTATGCTTTTGATCACCGAGCCAAGATCATCTACAACAGGGGTTCCTAAGCTTATTTTGTCTACTGCCCACTTTGAGAATAAATTATTTTTTTAGCGCTCCCATTTTTTCACCTACTTAAAAACCACTATAACTTCAAATTAAATTAATTATTGTGAGTTGTACTAGCGGAGATTAAACATTCATTCTAAACGAGACTTTTACTATAACTCCCAAGAGTTAACTTGAGACCTGAGCGCAGTAGGTAATACACAACGGCGGCGCTCAGGTCTTAAGTAACTCTTACGGGCTACACCTGCCAATGAGAATGATTATTGAAATGCAACTTCATAGTATTCAAACAGAGTATCTTTTATTCAAAATAAAACAAACAAAATCGATTCTAATATAAGAATTAATGTGAAGGATGAATCTGATGCTGTTTAATAAGTTTGTTGATATCTGGTTCCAAGTTACTCAAGAACAGCCGCAAGTCACCACGTTCGGTAACATGCAAACGATTTCTCTTTTTAGTAAGCAGCGTTGTCACAGCACTAAAACCACGTTCACACAAATATGACGATGGGAATGCTATCAAGAATCGTTGAACAATTGACCACAATCCAAGGTACAATTGCGGGATCGGTTTTTGTAGGCAAAATTCTTGGTAGCCATTTTTGAACTTGATTTTTATTTCCTCGTTCGTTGTCAATTCCATAAGTTCTTCTTCCAGCTGAGGTGATATTGCTATGTAGACATTTGAAAACGGATCCAACACCCAGTCTGGTATTTCCAAGTTCAAAATGTCCTGGTATCGTTCGGTGAAGTCAATGTGGAGGTTTTCCAAATGTTGGCAGTACGAAAGACGTCGTTACTGCAGGATGCTGATAAATTCGGAAAATTGGGAAACTCACGTTTGCCCATATTCTTTTTGTGTAGAAGCAATTTGGCTGCGAAAGCAGCAACGACATTTTTTGTTTTAATTAAATTTTTCATGTCGTTGAACAATTTATACAGGTCTGTCTAAGGCTATATCATTCTTTGATGTAGTGAGCTTGTGCAATTCTGTATCTTTAGTTTCCAAGAACTCTATCACAGAGTCAAACAGGTTGTAAAATCGAGTCAGATAGTTGCCTCTTGATAACTAAACGAACTTCAGTATGATACAACAAACGGTTGAAAGCTTCGTCATTAGTACTACAAAGCTGATGAAATAATCTATCATTCAAAGATCTGTTACGGATTTTATTGACTGCTTTGACGAAATAGTCGTTCACTTAAATTTCTAGCAACCAAATGTTGTCTATAAATAACGCAATGTACAGCAAGGACATCTGGAATTTAATTTTTTAAGTACGCTATGAAGCTTTTATGGTGCCCTGTCGTAGCCGGAGCGCCATCCATAGCAATTGATATAATATTTTTCAAGGGAATCTCTTTCCCATCGCAAAACTTTTTCAATGTATTGAATATGGTTTCGCCTTTTGTATCGGTCTCTAAATTTCTAACAAACAATAGTTCTTCACATATTTTCTCACCTTTAAC